ACACACACACACACACACACACACACACACACACACACACACACACACACACACACACACACATATACGCATATATCTGAAAACATAGCCTGCTAAAACTTTCTGTTGTTTTTGACTTCTTTTCTGGTGATGAAGTTGTTTTCCGACAGGCCCTTGACTGTGGGCTGATGTAGGGCCCCGCGGTAAAAAGGAAATGACTACCATGTCCTTCCCCGGCAAGATGCACGATATAGGAGTCTTACTGTGAAAATTGGAGGCCACCATGAGTCCCGAATCCTAGTCGGAATCGAAGACTCATGTGGATGCTATTTAAGCTTGTTGAACTTGCTCTTTGAAATGGTTATGGGTCGCATTCCTATCCCAATTTGTTCGATGTAGGGCCCCACGGTACAAGTCAAGATAAACCCCACACCCCCCCTGTGGGTTTTCCTTTTTTCTGGTCACCCTAGGGGGCTGAGTTGCCATGAACTTTGGAGGCCACCACGGACTCTATATGAACTCTGAACCCAGTCGTGCTATATGTACAGATACGCCTCAACAATTAAGAATGGGAAATCATCCCTGTGTTTTTCGCCCCCCCTTTTCTTAGGCGGTGGCTTGATTATCATGGTTTGATACTTTTGGTTCCTGTATTTATTGTTGATGATTTACCTTCCTTAACCCTCTTCGGCCGGCGTCGCTTGAAGTAAGTCCAGTGGTTCCGGTCTCGCGAGTCGGTCCTCTCGTATCGGCACTTTCATTGAATCGTTGCGCCGACCCTTCGTTGCGCGTCCTGCTTTTGCTGCCTCTCCTTCTCCCTCTTCCGCCTCTTCTTCTTCCTCTTTTTTGTCGTCTTTTTCTTCATCTCCCTTCTCGTCTCGCCCCCCGGCCTCGCATTTGCCCCCCACTTGCTGTTTGCTCAACGTTCCCTATTGCTCGGCTCCTTTGAGAATTGCGATAATTTGTTTCTTGCTCAGTTCGACAGCTATGAGCGGAGCTTCTGCCAGTCGCACTACGGTAATATGATCTCGCTCTCTTTCCCTCCACCAACCTCCCCTCCCTCTTCCAGATTGCTTCCACACCCCCCCTCCCCAATGGAAAGACTCAGTAAGGGTCTGGTCCCCTTCGGTGCGTCAACTAAGGTTTGTTTTTTTCCCCCTGATGAGCCAAGTGTGGTGAGACTTGGCGAAAAGGCCTTTGGGAGCGCTCACTTCCCCTTTCTGTTACGCTGACATTTATGCGCCACCTGACCGAATTGGGACCTTTATCATTTATGTCTAATATTATACACATAGTTGTTTCTTTTGATACCTTGATACTACCTAATCATTGTTGTCTTATGCAATTGTGATGTTGATGTGGATTGTTGTGGCTGTTTAGGAGTTGGTCGCCGCCTCGGGACTTGTTTAGCGAAGTTTTGAGTGATGGAGGCTGCGCTGTTTGTTCTTGGCATCATTGCGGAGTGTTCGATTTTCTTTGGCTATTTGACGTTCATCTCCTATCTGGAGGAGTCCCACTTGAATAATCTTTGTTCCTAGTTGATCGCACGGACGAATGTCACGGTGAATAGTGCTTCTAAGGGCAGGTGCTTGGTTTGAGATTCGCTGTGATGGATTGTAGAAGGGATCGGTTCCTTTTAGGCATCGTTGTGTTTGCCTTCGCTGTGTTTTTAGCCTCAATGATAGCACTCGTCGTGATGGCGACTCCGGGCTGTTCTGCAGCGGCACTGGATGTATGTTGTCCTCACTCTCCTCCGGCGATTAGTGAAAGCCTAGCCGTCATGCGCTTCGCGTATCTAGCCTTTCTCGCGGTTGTGATGGCAGGTCATTGTATGAATTGGCGGGTTAATGAGTTGGCGGTTGTCGGATACTATGGAACCGCTTGAATGATTGATGGTTCTCCTATCGCTGTGTTTATGTGATTGGGGTCTAAGCCTCGCCTGCTTCCTATCAATGACCACGTGGAGCTTCGTTTAGCATCATAGTGCCTTTAATTTCGAGGATCCATCATACGAGAACTTCGATCATTGCAGTTTGTGTGAGGTTACTGCTTTGGGGCTGAGGGAAGGGGTTGCGGGAATCTTGTTGTTTCATATTTGCCGTACCGATGTGAGCTCTTCATGATAACTGTTCGTAGTGGATGAGCGCTTTTCACAATCGCACTTTTGTCCCACTTTGGCTAGTCTTTGTATGAATTGGCGGGTTAGTGAGTTGGCGGTTGTCAGATAATATGTAACTGCTTAACGGTTGCCCTATAGCTTTGCGTGCGTGATTGGTCTCTAAACCTCGCCTGCTTCCTATCGATGAGCACGACGTGTTTCGTTTAGCATCACAGCGCCGTCCATTTCGACGAACCATTGTACGAGAACTTCAATCATAGGGCTCTGTATGAGGTTGCTGCTTTGGCGCTGAAGTAATGAGTTGCGGGAATCTTGCTGTTCCATATTTGTTGTGGCGTTGTGAGCTCTTTATGATAACTGCTCTTAGTGGATGAGCGTTGTTCATGATGGCAGTTCTGTCGTACTATTTGCTTCGGCATTGCGTCCGGATCACCTTTATGTTTGCTAGGTTGACGGCCTTCGCAATATTTGTTGCTCGCATTTGAATAAAGTTTGAAAGCCTGTTACGATTGTTTGCATCTTAAATAGGTTCATACGCATCTTTGAAGTTTAATTCTTTTCTTGGATTAATGACTTGCTCTGAGTGATTATTCTTCGTACCCCCTTCCTGTCTTCCTCTCGTTTTCCCCTCGTCTCCCCCTCATTCTCTCTTCGTTTTTCCCCACCTCCCTCCTACCTCTAAGCGTCCTACTCCTCTACTGGAGGCATGATCGCCAATTTCTTTCCGGCTATTCTCCCCTGATCTCTTCCCTGAACCCCCCTCTTTTTCTTCTCTGCCTACTCGTCCTTTTTGCTCCCCTATGTTTTGGTCATGCCATCCCGTTTGTGAAAAGTTCATTCTCTGTGCTCCAGTAAACAATTGGCATATCAATGACGTTTTTTTAAGCACAACATAAAATGGGAAAGTGATCTTGCAGCCTCCTTTGTAAACCAAAATTTTTTTTTACCCTCTGATGGAATCAACGCCATGAACTTGCTGATCTCTTCGCAACGGCCCCAGTGTACTAGGCCCGGTCAGGAAGTTCGCCACGCTTGATAGCGCGGGGGTTTCGTATCATAATCCACAGTCATAGGGCATCTTTGCCCGCCCGTTTACCAGCGAGGGGGTGGACTCCCCCTTGCCGAACTACCTTGCAGTGGCTTGATTAGTGTGGCTCCGTTCTTAGTTTTTCGGATTATCTTTGGTATGAATCCTCATGGTAATAATATGGTGGTAACTTGCTGATCTCAATCACGTCCTTTTTTTTGTGCTTACGCTTTGCCTTTTTGTTTGCTGTGTACCAGAAGCTCATATTTTCGGCAAACGGATGGTACGCTGAACTGATCCAAGGTGATCAATTGTGGATGGGACGGTTTGATCCTCCTTCTCGTCCGGCTCAAGCTTTGATCTCGCTTGCTCATCCAAGCGTCCTTGACTTCGTTCGAGAAAATTTTTTGCATACCCCTACCCCTCACCCTCCTCTCATCTCGGTATTGGCTTTCAATGATTGGGCTGATCTCATTTGGGCTTTGACTCACGACAAGGAATCCTTTCCCCACATGTCGCGGTGCTATGTCCTTGGTGCTCACCAGATGCGTCAGGAGGACCTCTTGATTGAGTCGTCCATTAGGGACGAGATCCTAATGAAGGAGAAGGTGCTTATTGAATTGTGGAATGTTGTCTCCGAGTTCCATGCTGATCTCGCCCAGCCCCTCCCACCCGATCCTTGTGGTTCTGAGCCTGGTTCTGATGAGGATGATGGCCTCCCCCTTACAGAGGAGGAGAAAGTCTTTCACGCGAAGTTTATAGCGGAGTCAAATGCGCAATTGGTTGTGGGACTTGCCAGGAAGAAGACCACTGATGTCAACAAGTTTGTCCGTAACGATTTCCTCCCCATTGCGCTAGCTAGATGGATAGAATCCGAAGCTAGGGCTAAGGGTGACAAAATYTGSGAGTTCGATACCTTTGATCATTTGGCGCCCATTAGTGTCAATGCTTACAAATTGTTTGCATCCCTCACTGCTGAGGAAGTGGATCTCTGCTGCAATCGGRCTCTCGATGAGAACACRAAGCTGATTAAAGGTCTCTACCCTCGAACGGCGGAGGCCATGAAGCTTCCCATCGTTGGTCACTTTGATCCACTCAAGTRTTCTGTYTCCCCGACTRCCCTTGCTATCAGGGGTTTTTACCCCCCCAAGGGTCAGACTGCGCTTGCTGAACTCAAGAGAGTTTGGAACGTCGGTAGACCGTATTTGAAGTGCAGATGTCAGGAATTGGGAAAAGGTGAGTGTAAGTCCAATATTACGTCGTTCGACCACGTGTTCTGGTACATGCTGGCCAATCCGGATTATTTGTTTCYAGCSGCCCCGACTCTTCATGCAAAGATGAGGGCRATGARGACTTTYTTSAAAATGACCTGGCGCGCGCCCATCCTCGCTAGTGTCGTGTTCTCCCACATGAGGGGCATAATGCTGAAGATGGCGCAAGCAGTGGTTGTCAATCCTGCAACGAGACAGGAGAAGATTCTGGGTGACGAGGCGCTGATGATGAGGAAATTTCCTCGGAAGATGGCCTCATTGATCCTCCCGGACCGCTATATTAAGAGTCCATCGAAACGCCGACTTCCTCCTGCCAAGGATGCTCGTCCTGCCAAGCGGCAGTGCAACACCACTCTGTCCTACTATGTTAGGCCACAGCGTGAGGAGGCGTTGGGTGAGGAACGACAGTTGTCTGATGATCAGGCTCCCATCACTTCAACCCCTCCCTGCTCGACCGTTTCTTTTCAGGGGGACAACTTGAATTCGACCAACAACAAACAGCAGCCCAGGGGTGGCAGCAGCGGTGCATCCTCTAGAATTCTGTTTCGCTCTTAGAGCATACGGTGCGCAGCAAGGAGCCTCGGTGTCTATATATGTATATTTGGTTAACCATGTTGACGATGCCTATAAACTTGTATAAATTAATATATTTGTGTTATACAGGGAATAATGGAGGAAGGTTGTAGTATGATCCTTGATGAGGCAGGGAGGAATAAATGGGCGGATGCTCCTTCGCCGCGGGCGGAGTTCTATGTCCATACTAAGTATGAGAGTAGGGCGATGGAGGCAGTTCGTTTCAGGGCTATTCTGGAGACGGCTTTTGAGATTTTCTTTCCGACAACCACGATTATCCTCCTCACGTCGATGGTATTTGGTTGGACCTATCATGAGCCTTTGAGCTCGCTTGTATACAGACCATCTTCAATCTTCAGGGATTTTGTGCTGGAGCAATGGCTTGATTTATGTAATGAATGTGTTGTATGCCCGTGTGTATCGAATAGATTTTGTCGTTTTCATGCCCCGAAAACCGCATCTATGGCCCAACCCTTTTCTAAACCCTCCCAGCATGTTCTCACCTTGGACCCCTCTATCTCTAATAACCCTCAGCTGACTCATCTCTTTTCCCAGAGGTTAAACCACATCCCCCCTCGCCCCCGCACGCCTACGAAAGCAACCCAAGCTTTCCTTAGGTCATGGGAATGCCTCGTGGAACACATGCTGAGTAGAGTCTTCATTCCGCATGCACCAGTAAAATTGGCTATTGACTATGTTAGGAAGCAGACTTCTATTCAGATTGTGACTTTGGGCCTCAAAGGTCGTTCAGATCCACCCTATTCACTGGATGTGAGCTCCGTGAGATCTGAAATTACTTTTTTAACTGGTCGCCTTCTGATCTCTGGAACTGACAAAGCTGCTAATACCCCCTCCTTCTGTTGCATGCACCTCATTAGGAAGCTTGCACTAGAAAGATTGTTTGGTGAGGACTTCRAAAGAGTGGGGAACGACACTGTGGTCATTTTTKTTGAAGCCACCCAGTCTTTGGCSGAGATTTCCCCTCRCATTCCCAYGGGCTCTGAGAAGTTACCCTACCTCATGGCCCTTTACAAACACCACAAGAAGCCCTTCAGATGGTTGACCAATGCTGCTGACTCCTTTCTCACCCCCGTAGCCTCCCTGTGTGATGCTATAATCAAGACGCTAATCCCCCTTGTCAAAACCCGCTGCAAGGAGGTCACAGATGGCTTGTTTAGGTTTCATGGTCTCAACACTACACTTTGGTGGACCATTGATTCCGTCCAAGATTATTGTTATAATCTTCCCAACAAAGTCTTTACTGTCTTTTCAAGTGACATTGCTCGTTGCTTTGAAACTATTCCTATCTCAGCTGATGATGACGGGCTCCCTGATGCTTTCAAGTTCTTTGTCAACTTGGCATGGGGTGTAGCTGACTCAAGGAAAATGGGCTCTGTTATGAGGTGTAGGATTAAAAAAAATGGTGTGTTTGAGTGCTCACTAACTAGCAGGGTCACCAAGGACAGCCCTTCCGTGTTTTTCCTTGGGAAAAATGAGATCATCAGCCTGGTCGAATGGATTCTCGCCAGGTGTTTCACAACAATGGGGGGTGCAGTCTGGAGACAGGTCAAAGGCATCCCCATGGGTTTACCCTATTCTCCCTCCTTGTGCAATCTTTATTTTTTTAAGTATGAGCTTCAGTTCATCATGCGTCTTGTTCACAACAGGGCATTTGAGGTCCTTCCCCTTTTTAGGTATATCTATAGATAAAAAGATGACTTACACAGCCTTAACAACCAATCCATCCTGAGATTCCTGGACCCCGAACAACCAAGGCTCGAGACTAATATCTTTCACATTTACCCCTTGCATTTGACAGAGATAAAAAAACAGACGGAGGTATTTGTTAAAAATGAATCTGGGGAAGTGTATGGACTAAAAACTCAGTCCCTCAACTCTCAGATCTCAGTGCTCTCAGAAACGGATGGGGATTTCGTAATGGCAAAATTTGACAAGTGCCGTACCTTGAGCTTCCTGGTCTGCAGATATGTGAAGTTTGGATCTAATAGACACATCCAGCAGTCAATCAATATCATCATTGGCCAGACGACACTTATACTCCTCCTCTGCACTGTGCCTGAGACTGCTGCCAACAAGATTATGTGGTTAATCAAGGATATGGTGGCCAATGGGTTCCTTCTTAGAAAATGCCTCTCTTGTGCTCTTAAGGTCCTTGAATCTCCATCATTGTATATGCCTCCCAGGGTAGATCCTGCGACCACAGCTGTCAAGGTATGCCTCCTTGTTCTCTCCCTTTATCTTTGCGTATTTCTGTGTTTCTGTCTGTGTATGTGATTCATTTCAGCCCCGACCGGTAATGCTGTTATGATGGTTGGCTGGTACCTTGCCCGCGTAAGGCAGGTACCAGTTACCTGCCTTAGCAGGCCTAGGACCGCCAGCGGGACAAGGTGGGACACACACACACACATACACACACACACATATACGCATATATGTGAAAACTTAGCCTGCTAAAACTTTCTGTTGTTTTTTACTTCTTTTCTGATGATGAAGTTGTTTTCTGACAGACCCTTGATTGTGGGCTGATGTAGGGCCCCGCGGTAAAAAGGAAATGACTACCATGTCCTTCCCCGGCAAGATGCACGATATGGGAGTCTTACCGTGAAAATTGGAGGCCACCATGAGTCCTGAATCCTGTTCGGAATCCAAGACTTATGTGGATGCTATTTAAGCTTGCACAGGGGGGGTGTGGGGTTTATCTTGACTTGTACCGTGGGGCCCTAACCCCAGTGGTTTGTTTTATTTTGGTTTTGCATGGAGAAGTTAGACCCTTCTATAAGTTTAGGGGGTCTGATTACTCTGAAGGCTGGGATGTCCCCATAAGTTTGGGGAGACCCAGTGATATGGTCTGCATGGAGGGATTGGCTGTTCCGTAAGTTCAGGTGGCCTGACTGCTCTGACCTGTGAGGAGTTTGATTGTGCTTGATTTTCAGGGACTCAGGGCGCTCAATAAGTTTTAATGCCTTGGGTTGCCTTGTTTTCATTGAGATTTTACCTGTTTCTTTGGTTTTTGAACGAGGGGACCGAGCTGTTCTGTAAGTTCAGGTGGCTCTGTCCCTTCCCGCTCTTTATTCTGAAGAAATAATCTTGGCAAAGAGGCAGACCATTCTGTAAGTTCAGGGGGGTTGACTCGATGCCACGCACATAATGGCTCAGATAGAAACGAATCTGGCAGAGAGTAAGACCCTTCTGTAAGTTCAGGGGGTCTGGCTCAAAGCCTCGCACATGCTGGAACCCGATGGTTATAACTTGACTATACTTTACTACCATTTTATCTAAGAACGAGTTAATCAGACTGTTCTATAAGCTTAGGTGGTCTGACTATAGCTGTATCACAACTTGAAGAGAGTATAACTAAGAATAAAACTGGTGGTAAACAAGGGCAGACTGAACTTAAGTTAGCTCAGTCATATGCAGCCTTAGAAGACAAAGGCAAAGATAAGTATATATAACTTGGATACTTTAAACAGTCCAGGGCGACTAGAGTAGTCTAGTCGTATGCCCAAAGAAGAGAAAAGTAGTTGTGCCCTCTGTTTGTGTATATTTGGCCGAGTTAGAACGCTCTATAAGTTTAGGTATTCTGACTCTAGGCCTGGCTAAGTTGCGTGCGCTCTGTAAGTTCAGGCGTCCTGACCTATGCCTTATGTAAGCTGGATATAATGGGTTAAATCATTAGGAGATCATAGACTATTGTTTGTTCAGGTTGACTTGGGATTGGTGAGATTACTTACCTTTGTGGTATGGCTTGCATGTGACTGAGTGAGGCCACTACTTAGTCTGAGTTTCAGGCTGATAGGTAGTTGCTTTAGTTATTCGCCACGTGCTAGAGCCATAGGAGTTAGTGTCAATTCCTACATTTTCTGTGGTAACTTTTTTTACTTAGGTCAATTTCTGCATTTTCTCATATCTTTTCTTATATTTGGCTTTGTATAAATCTTGGCAAGCCACTTTCCCTACGGGAAGCGCTGCCGAAATTTCTATAAATCCAAGGAGTTAGTTGAATTTTGGCTTGTCAAAAGTTCAACTTTGTCTTTTCTCATATTTGACTTAGTTAAAATTTGGGAAGTCTCCTTTTCTAAAGGGATTGCTGCCCAAATTTTTGCTAATTCAGGGAGTTGGAAAAAAATGAACTTTGGAAAATCAAAGTTGTTTTCAAATTCTGAGTTGGCCTTGTATGAATTTTGGGATTGTTCCCAAAATTTCTGCAAAACTAAGGAGTGAGCTAAATCTTGTTTGAGTTGAACTCAAGTTATCTTCTGAGTTTATATCTGACTTAGTATTAATCTGGGAAGTCTCCCTTTTTAAAGGGAATGCTGCCGAAATTTTACTAATTCAGGGAGTTAGACAAAATTTGACTTGCCAGAATTAAAAGACTATTTCTGTTTTTCATATTTGAGCCTATATAAATTCTGGAAAGATACTTTTCCGACCGGAAGCGCTGCCAAAATTTTCTTAGTTTAAAGAGGATAGATTATATTTTGACAGGTGGCGATTCTAGTGATCCACCCTGGATAGGGAAGATTCTGCCACTAGCCTACCTTTTTTTTTTTTGACACTTGCCTAGAGGTAGGCTTAGATATAGTTAACTAAGATGGTTTGGGTAAGATCGTGATATGGAGATCGTTCTTCGTTGACTTATAGGTTCAGCCTGGGGCATTGACCTGTGATGTGTTACAGGCCCCCTTTTGATCGTTTGATTCAAAATCCGGACTAGATTCAACTTGATCCCTTGAGGATCATCATCTATTATCACTGATAACAGGTCGGTTGCCGATTCGTCGGCTTAGGACTCAATTCCAACTCACCCTCCACACTCAACCTAAAAAGCTATAGCCCTGGTGAATTTCATTGTTTCATTAAGGTTTCACCCGGACTTTTATTGAATGGCCATTTAACAAAGGTACTGAGTATTTAATTAAGGTTGGTTGGACAGGAGGTTTTGGGGCTTGCATGGCTAAAGTGAGGGGTATGAGTGTCGAAGATGGTTGGGGTTGACTCCGTGTAGTGTGTGGGTTGTTGATTGACTCGTTGATGTGATTTACAGGTATGTGATGTGAATCAGATTATGGATTTGGTTGCCTGTGATCACATGTATACGTATGCTGTGAGGGACCCCAATGAGACTGTGAGAAGTGGTCGTCACATACTCCCCCCTTTTTATATATATATACATGGGCATACCTGGGGTGAATGTTTGTATTGGCTAAAGGGCCCCCGTATAAAGGGCATACTCAGAGGTTAAGACTCAGAGGCCCAGGGAAGACCCTTTTTTTTCTTTTGCTTTACTTCTTGAGGATTTACTTAGTCGAACGTTGGTCCTAGGCCGGGATTCAAGGTCCTTGTCCAGGACATCCCAAGCCCTAGACTCTGGAGGGAAGGGATTCCCCCTCGCACAGAGCCTACTTGCTCTGCCCATCGAGGTACCCCACCCCGAAGGCGGATATGTCGCGAGGGCCAAACGACATGTCCTTCAGCCGTTCAATATCGTGAGGGACAACCCCTCACGATATATTCCTTCAGCCATTCAATATCGCGCGGCCAGGGCCGCGACTACCACGTAGGGTTGGCATTGTGGTTGGTATGAGATTGACCCGCAGCCGCGCGGCTTTACATCAGAATCCCACGCGCGACGTTTCACCGCCCTAGTGTTTAAAGGTTATGGGATCAGAAGGG